GCTCCGTACTTACCTATTATCTGGTTGTTTCCCATAAGTAGCATAATTCAATTTAAAACGTTTTGCCTGGAAATTTAAAAACAAACACACTAAAACAGAGAAAGGTGTTTCAAGAGTCAAACAATATTTGAAAAAAACTGAAATAAATTACCTTGGCCAAAATATCTCCCCCTCTCTAAGCCTCAGCCTTTTCTGCTGTATAAAATGAGGGGGTTGCACGGATCACCGTTAAGGGCACTGCCAGCTCCATGTTCTATGAGCCCAGGTGTGCCAGCTGGTGCAGCTGTAAGCTAAGTAACTGTGGGAAGAGCAGAATGTAACTCTCTTGAAATGTGTTCTTGCTGCTGCCAGCCTGTTCTAGTTTCTCGATCAGGCAAAAGAGCTAGCATTTCAAATCTTCCATCACAGGAGGGAGGCAGTGACACAGAGTGGAAAGGGGACAGGTTTTGGAGGCAACCAATCTTGTCTGAATCTTGGCTGTCATTTACTATCTTTATTGCCTTGAGCAAGTTATTTTACTTCACTGAACTGTTGCTGGTCTGTCAAAGATAACAATGCCTACTGCACAGGGTGATTTTAAGATTAAATAAAATACACAGTAGGGATTCAATAAGTGATAGTAATTAATGACAAAAATGGTGACATCATCATTATCTAAACGTCCTTACAGGTGTGGCTCCTGGAAGGGGTTTCCCATTAATTTTATGCAAACACTTCTCAGCTGTGGCCAAATCTGCAAATTCTACAAAGCAGTAGCCAGCTGGGATCCTGAAAAGCAAGCACACAGAACAAAATGGTTAATCCAGTTAAGGTTTCACCCAAAAAAAAGGAGAAATAATTTTCTAATCACAGCCTATACTACTTTTGTTTGCTGCCACATTCCAGTGGAGATGTAACTTAGAAAACTGAACATAAGGACTGCCAAGCTAGATACATTCAGTAAAACTTCGTTTACATACTATATTACCTGTGAAGTACTCATGCTAATGTTTTTTTTTTTTTTTTGCCAATAATGTTTTTAATGGAATTAAATCAAGTGTGTAGGTCTAACATCCACTTCAGCGGTAACTAACCTATTGCACGTGTACCACCGCCAGCTGTTAACTAATGAAAGCTCTAAAAAGGTTCATCATCACTGACTAGTATATGGGAAATACTAGAGATAGAACAGGTATAATACCAACAGGTAAAAAACAGATGAATTCAGAATACAGGACATTACCTAGGACAACTACTCTTGATCTCTACTTAAAGTGAGTACTAGAAGCCTGGGGGGTGATGCACACCTATAATAGGAGCACTCCTGAGGCTGAGGCAAGAGGATCATGGTGAATTTGAGGCCATCCTGAACTACATAGCAAGACCCTGTCTCAAAAAATAAAGGGCGCTGAAGCAGGAAGATTACTTAGTTTGAGGTCAGCCTGGACCAAATAGCAAGACTCTGTCTCAACAATTTAAAACATAATGAACGCAGTGTTTATTACCTAGCAGGCTATAATCTTGTCACAGAATATATAACACTCACTATTCTAACAGCCTAGTAGGAATTCATTTAATCCTCACTTACGAGGTAGGTGCTATTTTCCCCATTTTCACAGTAGAGTAACTTACCCAAGGTCACACAACAGAAATAATTTCTAAAACCAGTCTGGCTCCTGAGTCCTATCATTACGCAATGTGTTATATACACTGTGAATTGTTACCCCTTAGACCCTGTAATTCTCAGAGATAGATGCCCCAGGAGTAGACAGAAGCCCAAAGCCCTTCCTTTTCATATTTACATTCTCTCGAATGTAATGGATCAGCTGCAGCAAGATCCATTAAGGGAGAAGTGGGAAGATGAAAAAGACACGCACCCTGTGAGGCGGTTTCGGATAATCTTGACGCTCATCACGGTTTCCCCCATGGTGGCAAAGGCTCTGGAGATGAAGTTCTCATCCATGTAGGGTTCCAGCTGCGCACAAGGAGGGGCGGGCTGCTGAGGACTGAGTCCGGGCTCGCGTTCCCCGGCCCGAGCCCCGCCCCCTGCAGGCCACGCGGGGCTCCCGCGGCGCGCGCCGAGGGCTCCGTGGCGCAGGACGTGAACTCCAACTCCTCCACTTCCAACCTGCGCCCCTTTAGGGAGGCCCATGACCCGGGATCTCCATGCCCCGCCCACAGCCACAGCGTCCCCAGTCCTGGGGTTCCTCCCCTTCTGACCCTCAAAAAGGCCCTCCTTCACCCAACCACGTACCCAGGTCTCCACCCCAGGAACCCTCCGCGGCAGACAAACCCGCTCCTTCCGTTCATTTCCAGCCTTTTGAGGATTCAAAGCCCCTTTCCCCTCAAAGCCATTCCTCCCTAGCGACACCGCGATTTAGCTTTCTCCTCAGAGCCCCGGCAGCCGCCCTCACTTACATCTCCCATCCACAGACTGGCCGCCATCCCGCACCCGGGCGCGGACTTTGCGGGCCTGAGAGGCGCGCGCGGACTCGGGTCCGCGCTGTGGGGACCGCCCCGGAGTTGGCCGCCTGCGACGCCTTCTGCGCACGCGCCGAAAGTTCGCTGCCCATCCAGCCGGGTATTCCGCTCCGGGTTTTCCGGAGTCTCCCAGGGCGCTCAGCTTCCGGGTCGCAGTGGGCGGTGTTCAGGCCAGAGTCGGGGCTGGACTTTCTCAGTACGTGATAAACTGCACACGGAACTACTTACATAAGTAATAAAAATAATGTATGCTCGTTGTAAAATGTTGAAAACATAAATTTTAAAAGCAGCAACTCTGGGGCCAGGGGTTTAACTCAGCGTTGTAAGTACTTGCCTGGCAAGCGCGAGGTCGTGAGTTCGATCCCCGATACTAAAACACAAAACAGTCCTACGTTTCCCAGTTTTCAAAATGTGGGATTTTTGTTAAAGCTGCGGGAAGAGGGAGGTAGGGTTGGGCTAAAGGGAGTGTAAGTTCAGATAAATTCATCTCAAATGTTAATTCCCATGTCCTGTCCTACCTGCATGAATCCCACTATCAAATTCCGGAGCACCAGGGGCTATTGCATGTCCCAGAACAGCGACAACCACGGAAATGGCCTCAATAAACACGGACGGTTTGGACAAATAATCCTGATAGATTCTCACTCCCTACCCCATTCTCAGATGGAACTCAGGTCCTTTATAGTGAGCTACGCCCACCAGCCCCTCCCTCTTCCTTTACTTGGGCTCTAGCTAAGTCACTAAATTGTCCAGTCTCTGCTTACATTTGTAGTCTCCCTGCCTCAACTTCTCAGGAAACTGGTATAGCAAATGTCCATGGCCTGTTTATTTTTAAAATTTTTTTATTTTTTTGTACTGGGGATCGAACTCACCACCTCACTGCCAGGCAGGCGCTTATGCTGAACTAAATCCTCGGCCCTTCGTAGTTTAATGTTAAAATTTGTTAGGCTGAGAACATCCCAAGGAATGAAGTCAGCTGGTAGTCAGTACAGAAAGGGAAGCTTCTTTACCTGGGAGTTGGCATTTCTAATAGTCACCTGCACTCTAAGTGTCTGACTGGCCCCTAGTCTTTCCCTACCAGTCTTCACATCCCAAGCTTCGGATATACCCCAAAGGTGACATCACTTGAGACCAGTATGTTTAATAAATGTTTACCTCGGTGCTGTAGGAGAGAAAATGAGAAGCTAGGAAAGTAATTGATACAATGCCTGGCAGTAAACTTTGTCCAACATCAGTTGGGCAAAAAAGTTTCATGAGATAGGATTTGTCCATTTTTTTCTAAACAAATCCAAATTCTAGTAATGTTTGGAATTTGGTAGGCATTGAAAAAAATATTTGTTGAATTTATGACAGGCACATGCCTGTATTACCAAGGGGTTGAGGCAGGAGGATCACCTCGAGCTTGAGGCCAGCCTGGGGAACCTAGTGAGCCTACACTTTCAAAAGCCAAAAAAAAAAAAAAAAAAAAAAACCCAAACATCTCAAGGAAAAAAATCAGATGGAATCATTTTTCTAAAAATCACTGGTATCTGCCACCCAAGAATCCTGCCGATTCTACTTTCCTGTTACATACAGATGACTTCCCCTTTTCCCACACAAAAAAAGAGAGTGCTGAACTCTGTCCCCTCCCTTTTAGAGACAAAGACTTGCTAAATTGCCCATTACATTGGTATGTGCCACCACACTCCGCCACACATGCACTCTTTTTGGAGACAGGTTCTGGGTATGCAGTCCCAGCTGGCCTAATCCTGCCTCAGGCTATGTTAGATGATTACAGGGAGGCAACATCATGCCCAGCTTCAGGCTACAGATATAGATACAAAACTTTTCTGCAGTATAAAAATAAATAAACTTTCTGCAGTAATGGAAATGTTCTGGGATTTGACAGGCACTGAAAAAAAAAATCTCAGTGGTCCAATACCACAAACAAACAGCCATATATTATCAAGTACTTGACATATGGTTTGTACAACTGAAAAAGTTTAACAAGTTTTAAAACTGATTTCAATATAACAGCCACTTGTAGCTCGTAACTACTATACTGGGCAAGTGGGCAAGTTGGCCCTGATTTGTTTGCTCAGTGCTTATGAAAATCTACAATGCACATAAACTGTATTAAAACACCATGTGACTGTTTCTTTCTGGTGCTGGGGATTGGATGCTAAGCAAGCTTTCTACCCAAACTGTACTTCCAGCCCTGTAATTAATGTTTAATGTGCTACTGAAAGTATGGCAGCTCAGTAAGCATTTCTAAACATGTAATACACCCAAAAATCTGGTTTACAAAATTAAAACATTCATCCTTTCTCTTGTATTGCACCATTTTTTTTTTTTTTTAATCCAGTGGTTCCTGAAGAATGAACATCCAAATTTCTTTCTTCTTTTGATGATTTTGAACAGCCTTGGGGGAACCCACAGGGGACATCCTTCAAGCTGTAGGTGACACTAGCCTCAGGAGCATGGGCTCATTTGGCCCTTCCCAACAACACTTGGCACATAGTAAAACCCTGCCTTGAAAAAAGTGTAGAAAAATAAGTGGCTTATTTTATAAAACTCTTAATTTTATTCAAAGTGTTAAAAGGTTACACTCTCCCCTCAAAAATATTTTACAATTTTAAAAAATTAGAACTATTTTCTCAGCCACTGTACAGATTGCTGCTTCCTTTTCGTGAGACCAGCCTCTTCCCCTCCCTCACCTCTTAATATTGCCATACATTTGTGAATAAAACCTCCATCCTCTCTCTGCCTATACCCTGCTCTGCCCTGCCCAGTGGGGATTTGGGGTCCTTGGCTGCATATGAGGCCCAATGGATGGGGACCATACAAGCAACACCCGATAGGCAAACACTATGCTTTGTGCTTCTGGGTGAATAGCTACAGTAGTTGGCTTTTTCCTTCAAGTGAATCATTGTCTTTTGCCCTATGGACACCTGTTCAGAGCCAAGTATTTGGCTTGGGGTTGCCCACAGCTCTGTATCCCTGCCCCTTCTCCAGCTGTCCCAGGCCTGGGTCCATGACAGCTGGGTCTGATGACTTTTAACTGTCTGGGTGCCCATGGACTGTTAGGACAGGAAGAGTAGCACATAATTAGAGTTGGGGCTTGGTGGAGCCCCAGCTTCTCAGAGTGCAGGCACCAAATCCCCAGGGAGAGGACATTGTGGTACTGTGGAAGGCAAAGTCAGAGCCAGCCACGAGGGAGATAGAGCAGTGGGGCAAAAGGTCCAGCCACAGGAGTCTGCGGTGAGGGCCAGCAATGTTCCTTCTAACAAACCCTCCTCTCCCTACTTCATCCTGCAGGTGCCAGGATGATTCCAGAAAGGAGGATGAAAAAGAGGAGAAGGATTCTGCTCTGTTGATGGGGAAAAAGCAGGAGATGACACAGTGTTCAGAACAGGCTGGGGAGAGGCTGCTGGGATTTGCTGCCATCTCTGCTTCCCTGTTCTGTGAGGGAAGGTGGGGTCCAGGCACTCGTGGGCTTCATCAGCTCTGTTCCTTGTCCTTGACTAATAAGACTGTGTGCTGGCCCCCGCTGGACACAGATAAGACCACACGGTTCTCCAGCTGTTTGCCAGTCATCTCCACGGGGCTCCAGGCATCATCGTCTTGCCCTGTGCCCAGCTGGTAGTTGGTACCCATGCCCCAGGCAAAAACACGGCCTGCAGGAAACAAAAACAGGGGCAGCTGTCTCCAGGGTCCCAGCCCGATGTGTCCAAACCATCAAGAGCTAGAGACATGGCGATGAATTTTCATCTTGGCCAACAGCAGCTGGATGAGGTCCCGGCTCCTAAGGGTCCAGTTAAAATGAGAGAAGCCAAGGAGAGGATGGTCTTAAAAATGGCATGGGATTTCTTCCTGTTGCTAGCCATGGCATTCAAGGCCCTGCATGACTGGCTGCTCACCTAAACCCTTGTCCAATCCTCCAAATCCCAGGAACAGCCACTTTTGAAAGTTTCTCTGCTGGGGACACCATCCTGTGCTGTTTACAAAGGACTGAAACTTCAAGATGCACTGCTTCCTCAGGAAGTCTTCCCAAATAACCTCTCCAACCTAACTTCCAACAGAGCTGTGCCCCTCACCCACTCAGGCTTTGGCGGCTTCAGCTCACATCCTCCTGCTGTGCTAGCCAGGACCCTAACTACTAAATATTTTTTCTCTTAATATTCTAGGTCCAATCCCTGGGGAAGCTGCTAACTAAGGAACCCCTTTGATGTAGACAGCCTGAGTCAGGAGTCTGGAGACCTCAATTCAAGTCTCACAGCTTCCCTGGCCTCAGTTCTGTCTCCCTCTTTGGTTTTTTTCCTCCTCTGCAGAACAAATCACCTCTATTAAAATAATGTATATCCACCAAAGCCAGAGCTTGAGAGGCAGGAGCAAAGCAGCGCCATCATAACATGATCATCATACCTCAGCTCTGACTTACAGTGGACGTTAGAACCTGCTGGGAGTCCGCTAGGAAATCACGATTCCCAGGCCCATGAAACAAGTACAGGCAGCCCCACTTACCATCCTTGGTGACAGCATATCCTACAGAGGCACCGCAGGCCACTGAGGAGACACAAGGCAGCCTGGAGATGAGGGTGGGTATGCTCTTCTCCTCCGCACCCTCGCCAAGACCCAGCCGCCCATACTCAGCCCGGCCCAGGCTGTACGCATTTCCTGTGGGAGGGGAAAGAGGAGCAGTAGCAGAGGGTGCGCCCCAAGAAGAGTGGATAGCAGGCCCAGTGAGACCCCATGTCTTCACAAGTCTGTCCCTCTTTCCAAGGTGATAAGAAGGAGGTCTACAATATCTCTCCTCATCTTAGGGGAGACCTACAAAAATCTCCATACTGGTCCCTGGAGAACTTGGCCTTGGAAGCATCGGAGGATAGGGGTGTACCCACATCTGGCCCATTCTATAAAAACAGGCTCAGGCTCCAAGGTCAGGGAATAAAACCTCCAGTGCATAGGAGAGGGGTCGTACCTTCTGAATCCATACAGATTGTATGGTGCTGGCCACCAGAGAAGCCCACCCAGGACTTGGTGGAATTCTTGAAGGATGTCAAGTTCTGGGGTACGAAGCATGACTCTGTGCCTGGTGTTCCTGTTGTAAGGGGTGAAGGTGTTTGTAGGAGCTACCCTTCTCTATTCCCTGCCACAGCAAGGCCACCCTCACCAGGACAGGGATAGCCTCACTTTACAGATGAGACAACTACAGCTCTGAGGGGCCAGATGAGCCCAAGAAGGGTACACAGAGCGGGTAAAATTGGTACGCAGGTTACCAGGTCATGCCTAGTGCTGGGCTCAGGACTCACCAAGCTGATGGTAGTTGGAGAGGCCAAACCCGTATACGTGGCCCTCGTGGGAGATGGCAAAAGTGAAATAGGCACCACAGAAGGCATCTTGAAACCTCACGTAGCCCCGGCTTCCCCTGGACTTCAGCATCACACACTTGGGAACAAGGAGTCGTTCTGTAGGCAGAAAAGTGTTCTCTCTGACTGAAACTGTTTTCTTTTCCATTACGAAAGCCCTCAGAGGAAGGCTAAGCTGGGATTTTATCCTTAATTTTACAAAAGAGAAAACTGAGGCCAAAAAAGTACAAATGCTTTGTTCAAATTCTCAGTTATTAGCCGAGTGTCATGGCACACACCTTTAATCTAGAACCTGGGAGGCTGAGGCAGGAGGATCACTGTAAGTTTAAGACCAGCCTGGACTAAAGAGTTAGTTCTAGGCCAGCCTGAACTATATAGCAAGATCCTGTCTCAAAAGGGCACACACACATACAACCCCCTCTGTTATTACAGGTAATATTTATGTGGACCTTACTATATGTCAGACATTCTTCTAATTAGCTCACTTATCTTCATTAACACTCCAAAGAAGTAGGGTTAGAAGTAGGTGGGTTTAGAGAGACGGAAACTATACCCAGGGCACCAGAGCCAGGAAGCACCAGAACAAGAGTTAAACCCAGAAAAAGAAAAAAGACTCAAACCCAGGTAGTTGGTCTCTAACAGATGAGTGGAGTTTTTCTGTTACTGATGTTGTTGCTGAGACTGGGTCTCTCTGTAGTACAAGCTAAGCCTGAACGTACTAAGAAGTCCAGGTTGGCCTTGAACTTTCAGCAATTGTCCTGTCTCAGCCTCCCAAGTGCTGGTACCACAGGCATGTGCCGCACACCTGGTTTAAAGTCTCAGTTCTTAACCAACACTACAAGTCCATTTGATGCAAGCCAGAACCCAGAACCCATCCTAATTCTGGCATCTACTAGGAAGTAGTTTGCCAAGCTGCCCCATGAGAGAGAACAAAGCCACTTACCAAGGCCCTTTCGGCCACCGCGATTGGCAAACAACTCAGGCACACGCCCCAGCTGGCCCTGCTCCCCACAACCTAAGGTGTAGAGGTCACCATCAACTGTCAGCATCACCAAGTGGTCATTTCCTGAAGGTAAGAAGACAGAAGAAAATGCAGGGCTCATCTGTAAGGCCAGAGGCTGAGCTAGCCCAGAACAGGATTCTATAGCTCCTGCCCACAGTGAGGACCCTGAGACTAACCTGAAGCTACCTTCACCACGGGCACATCCAGCTCCACTTGCACGGGCACCATACTCTTCTTCATGGGCTCCAACAGTCCAATCACACCATTATTGTCCTAAGAGATGGGACAGAGCACTTAATCAGCCAGTTGTACTGGCCACGCCCAGGTTTACAGGAGGCCACAGAGCTGTGTGGTGAAGAGCCAGGAATGGCAGCAGACAGAGATGAAGACGTGGACCAGAGGCAGGCCACATTCTGAAATACTCAGGAATGAAATCATATGGGTTCTAGGATTTGCATGGAAATACCCAAAGAGGAGAAAAGTAGATGTGACTTGGTAGGGATAAACAAATCTGGCTATAAAAAGCTGATAATCATTGAAGCTGTATAATAAGTAGCTGAAAGTTCAATACATTATTCTGATTACTTTTATGTTAGGAAATTTCCATAAAAATTAAAAATTTTCAAACAGGTTTGATGAGGAAAGATTGATCAGTTGTCTTATTTTCTTTCTTTTTTCTCTTTGTCTGTTTGAGACAGGATCTCGCTTTGTAGTTCAGGTTGGCCTTGAACTCACTTTGTATCCCAGGCTGACCTCAAACTTGCAGTGATCCTCTCACCTCAGCCTCCTGAGTGCTGGGATTATAGGCATGCACCACCACGCCCAGCTGGACTGCTTAATGTTTGTAATATTTCAAAATAAATATAAAAGTACAAAAGAATTCTAATGCTGAAATTTTTTAAAACTATTCTCTCCATGGCTTAGCATCACTGAGCTATGACATCCCCCCCCCCCCCCGTCTAGTTTCCTCCCCTAAATCCTCTGCAAAATATAGAAGAGGGCTAGGAAGGGAAAAGAGGTTGAGGCAGGGACAGGGATAAAATAGCAGCTTCCTTGGATAGCCCAACCCAAAAGTGTCAGACTCCAGAAAACAGCAGTGGTGTGGACAGATGCAGATGAAAAAGCCAGACACACGATCTGGCTCCAGCTCTGCCTATGGGCCTTCATTTTCTCATCAGTATGTTTGTTTGTTTGTTTGTTTATTTATTTATTTATTTATTTATTTATTTATTTATTTATTTATTGTCTTTTTCTTTTTTATCAGTACCGGGGATCGAACTCACAACTGCCTGCTTTCAAGGCAGGCGTTTAATGCTGCTGAGCTAAATCCCCAGCCTCTCATCAGTATGTTTGTACAGCGGAGCAGGGAAGTAGAGTCTTTTAGGGGCCCCACAGGCTAACTGCAGTTTTCCACACAAAGTCTTACCCGAAAGGAGCCCCAAAGGAAGACACGGCCATCCTCGGTGAGGGCTGCTGTGTGACTGTCTCCCGCTGACACCTGTACCACCTTCTCTTGCAGTTCCACTTTTCCAGGGACCATTTCTGAGCCTTCCACTGATGTGTCCCTTCCCAGGGCACCTTCATCATTGCAGCCGAAGGAATAGATCTGTGCCCGGTTTGTCCATTAGTGCAAAGGCCTCCCAGTAAATTCTTCAGGGTGTTCCCCGCTGGGCTGACCAATTCCATCTCCACAGTAAAATTTGTGTGGCTCAAAGCTACTGCTCCCAATTCCCCAACTCCAAGCCCAGTCCAGCCTGGTCCCAAGCCCCCAACCTACCTGGCCACTCTTGCTGAGACACACAGTATGCATGCCGCCAGCCTCAGCTTGAACCACCTCCTCAGGGATGGGCACAAGGGCTGGTTTTTTTCTCTCCATCACACTCTCCCCCAATCCCAGCTGGCCCACGTCTCCCTGGCCCAGCGTCAACACCATGCCTGAGGCTGTACTGTGAGACCTGTGTGAAACTGAGGGATGGAGAAGTTGGTCCTGAGTGTGCAGGATCACAAGAGAGAGAAGAGGTCACTTTATGGACTCTAGGGTCCTAGGGTTCTACAGGATGAGGGTCAAGCCTCTGCTCCATAAAGGCCATTAGTATGACCTTTCCCAGAGTTAAGTTTCCTCATCTGTAAAATGGAGTAACCCGTCTCATGGGGCTTCTGTGAAGATTAAAACCTGAGCACAAAATTATTAATGTCTAGGGAAGAAACAGAAACAAGGAGAAAAAACAGGTATTGGTGGAGAGGGAGAATATAGGATCTTTTTCCTGGTTAGTATGAAGCAATGGTGCCAAGAGATAACAGGTAACAATGTCTACGCTTTGGTGACTGTTTACTAACTGCTAACTTGCTCTGCACTCTTTCCATATTTAGAATCCTGTTTTGCAGGAAAGGAAACAGAGCTTTAGTGGTCCATTAAGCTAATAAGCAGAGTGCATTGAGACTAACGAAGACTACCTGGATCAGAGCAGTCCCCAGCTTTCACCCTCAACCTCCTCAATCTCCAGAGGCTGGGATTTTCAATTCTAAGACATCACTCAGAGGAAAAATGGAACTGACAGCTAAAGTGGAGAGCACAGTACTAAGACTCATAGAAGCATTTTTAGGGAGGTTTGTGCCAACCAGTTGGTGTTACAAGGCCTTGTGCTGGCAGAGGGAGATTGCCCATAGGCCTGGCCAGCCAATAGCATCCAGGCCCTTCTCCAGGGCTGTGGCCATGGCCACTGCTGCTGCGCGGAGAATATACCAGGCAGGAGCCACCTGCTTGGGTTTTCTGGTCAGGAGGGCTTGGTCCTCAGACACCTTGGCAGGAGTGGGTGCTAGGACCACCGCGGGAGGTAGTGAGCTTCACTGCTTGGTTACGAGAGTCTGTAAAAGACAGACATTGTCTGAGCATGACACACACTCCCTACCTCCAGACTGGCTTTCTCTTGTCTCTGTCCTGTTCTGTAATCCCAGGAGAGGAAACTATAGACACTTTCTTCGAATGCAGCCTGCATATTATATTATTTCATCCTCACAACAGCCCAGACAGGTTGGTGCTGTTCTCACCTCCGTTTTATGGAGTAACACAAGGTGGGCCAGGTTAAGTGATCTGCCTACACCTACATAGCTACAACAAAGCAGAGCAGGCACTTGAACCCAGCTGTGAAACCAGAGTGCTAACCATAAAGCATTACCACCTAGGATCAAGTCCTAGGATCTAGTTTTGGTTTTGAGATGGGTCTCATTAATAGTTCAGGCTGGGTTTGAACTCACCATGCAGTCCAGGCTGGCTTCAAACTCATGGCGATCTTCCTGCTTCACCTTCTGGGGATTACAGGCTTGCGCCACCATACCCAATTTAGAATATAAATTTTTTTTTTCTTTTTGAGGCAGAGTTTCACTATGCAGACAGGGCTGGCCTTTAATTCACTTTGAAGACCAGGCTACCTCAAATTTGCAGTGATCCTCCTGCCTCAGCCTTCTAAGCACTGAAATTATAGGTTTGCACTACCATGCTTGGCCCAAGGATATAATTTTTTTAGCCAACACTACTGAAATGCTCTCAAATAAACATCTGCCTCGTTTATGATTCTCAGAGAGATGGAATTCAATGAGCTATAGGATGGGGTCTTGCTAGATAAGGTCCCTGGACATCCAAATCCCTCATCTTCAAGTGTCAGGGATGGAGGGGCCCACTTCCAGACCATCAGGGGTCGGGTCCAAGAGGCCACCCACACCAGAAAGAAGAGGTCATAGTCCACTTACCTTTCACTTTCTTGCTCTTTGGGACAGCATCTTCTGGGGGTGATGCTCTCTTAGCTACACGCTTGGGTGGCATCTTTGTGTCCTGAAAAACCCAGCCGCTTACTTTACGTGTCAAAAACGGCAAACATTTTTCTGTGCCAATAAGCAACTCTAATCTAAAACTCTATAAAGGCAGAGGAATTGACCAGCAATTTCACTTTTTAAAATGTATCTCAATAATTGAGTAATTAATATATAAAAATTAAGTTCCATGAACTTATTTGTACAAGAGATTAAACCTAGGTCTTTGTACTAAACTTCATTCCCAGCCCTTTCTTGATTTTTGATTCTCAGACAATATTTTGATAAATTGCACAGATTGGGCCAGAATTTATAATCCTTCTGCCTCACCCTATCAGTATGCAGGAATTATAGGTATATATCACTGTGTCCCACAAACTTTACAAATATTATCCATAACATTAAAAAAAAAATAAAAAGGAGGGGCTAGGGTTTTAGCTGAATAGCACAACCACCTGCCTGACAAGCGTGAAGTTCTGAGTTTAATTCCTGGTACTAACAACAAAAAAGGAAAGCAGATGTGGCAGTGATGTTTACAATCCTGGCACTATGGGAGCTGACAAAGGAAAGTCCCAAATTCAAACCCAGTAGAGACAATTGAGATATTTTTTTGTTGCTTTGAGACAGGGTTTCCCTATGCAGTTTAAACTGGCCTTAAACTCACTACGTATCTTAGAATGGCCTGCAATTTATGGCCATCCTCTGGCCTCAACCTCCCAAGTGCTTGGATTATAGGCATGCACAACCTCATCTTTTTTTTTTGGTCTTTTTGAGACAGGGTTTCACTATGCAATTCAGGCTGGCCTTGAGCTCACGTTGTAGCTCAGGCAGGTCTTAAACTCACAAGGATCCTCCTGCCTCAACCTCCCAAGTGCTGGGATTACAGGTGTGTGCCACCATACCCTGCTCACCACACCCCTTTTGACTGAACATTTTATTTTACTTTTTGGTACCAGGGATCGAACTCTCAGTCTTGCACTTGCCAGGCAGGTACTTATGCCACTGAGCTAAATCTCTGGTCCTTGACTGAACATTTTAAGGTTTTTTTTTTTTTTTTCGGGGGGGGGGGAGTACTGGGAGTCAAACTCATGACCTCATGCTTGCCAGATTGCCACCAAACTATATCCCCAATTCCATGACTGAACTTTTTTTTTTTTTTTTACCTTTACTGGGGATTGAACTCATCACCGCCTGCTTGCAAGGCAGGTGCTTATGCCGCTGAGCTAAATTCCCATCCCCAACTGAACATTTTTAACTGAGAGTTCAAAATAAAACTCACTGAGAAAAAAAAAACTCAGTGAGGTATGGTGGTGTATGCCTGTAATCCCAGCACTCAGGACCCAGGCAGGAGTATCACTGTAAATTCCAGGCCCTTCTAGGATACAAAGTGAGTTCAAGGGCAGCCCGACTATAGCAAGAGCATGTCTCAAAAAGATAAAACAACAACAAAAACCACAACCCACAAAGACCAGCCAAGCAAATGAATAACCAACCCCCAAATATCCCATCAAAAAACATCAAACCAAACCATCTGTGCCCTCTGGTAGAGAACTGCCACACCTGGAAAGAGCCTGGCTTTCTTACAAGGTCCAAGAGGATACAAACATGGTAACACAGAAACACCAGGTGTCACCAAACCAGGACAGCAAATCACCCTGGGTAACGAAGCCAGCTAGACCCAGGACACTCAGAGCAGCTGAGGTCTGGGCCTGCCCCTCCTACCTGTGAACAACTGTTGCCTCTCTAGGCCTCCTGTCTTCTCCAGGGTGCTGGGAACCAACATTTTCTACATATCTGTACATTTTATTTGTGACTGAACTGTGCCCTAAAGTCTTTTTCCTACCACACATCCAGCTCTGGAAATCTTTATTCAGTCCTAGTCTTTCATAATGTCATCAAAGGTAAGTTGGCTAACCCCGAAGCTCCAATCTTTGGACTGTGAACCCAGTGGCAGAGAAGACCAGGGCTGGGCATTCTGAAATTCTTTGTGTGTGTGTGTGTGCTGGGACTCAAACTCATGACCTCGAGCCTGCCAGGGAGACACTGTGCTGCTGAGCTACATCTCCAGCCCCACTTTGAAGTTCTTGCAGTGTGTGATAGTGGAAAGCGTGGCGTTCAGAGCCAGACTACCTTTTAGCTGCTTAACTTTGGACAGTCACTCAGTGTCTCCACCAATCAGTTTCCTCCTTGGTAAAATGGGGGATGATAACAGTAGCTACATCTCTGTATGACGTGTAGGGTTAAATGGGCTAATATATTGTGAAAGTATTCACACTAGGCTGGTGGTGTAGCTCAGTGGTACGGTGCTTGCCCAGCAATGTGCAACACGGTGGCTTTGATCCCCATTGGTGTAATCAAGCAAGCAAAATCAATAAACAAACAGACAAATAAATAAAAGTACTCACACAGTGCTTAATAAACCAATATTGGTGTGTTTTTGTTTTTGGTACTCAGAATCAAACTCAGGACCTCACACTTGCCAAGCAAGTGCTGTCACTGAGTTAATACCTGCTCCAATATTGTGTTATTATAGTACTTAGGGCCTGCCCCAGAGACCATGCAGGCACGGTCCTCAGGCACTCTGAACATGGGATCTCCTCCATCTTAGGTGAGGAGTGAAGGCTCTACCCAAGGCAACAAATGAAATGAGAACCCCAAGAGCCTTTCCAGTCTCTGCTGTGGATGTGCCCAGCAACTCTGCCCCATTTTTCCTTCCCGGTAGGATTTGAAGCCTCAAACTTTCCAGTTGTCTGGCCCATGGGATTCGCACACAAGGCCAGGTACTTCTTGCTGACCGTTCTGGGGGAGGAAAACAAGGTACTGAAGATAAAGAAGTCACCACTGTCTAAGATCCTGCCAAGCCTGTGAGGCTGCCACTGGTCCAGTTCCCATTTTAACGAGATGGCAATTCTGAACTTCATCCAACTTCTATTTTTCCAAGGTGGAATGCCTCCCTTCCAACATGCCTGAGACCCCTCCTCACACTAAAAATCCATGTGCTTTGGGATTGGCAAGAATTAGATTCCACCTATTAAACCGTGGCTTTCTCACTTCTGCTCTGTTTTGTTTTGTGGAACTCACAGCAATCCTCCTGCCTCAGCCTCTGGAGTACTAGGATTACATGCAGGTACCACTAGGATCAGTTTCACCCCTGCTCTTGTGATCACAGTTGGCCAGAGGCTTTAACCTCTGAGCTGCATCCTAATCTGTAAAAAGGGATGTGATGATTGCTTCTCAGGACTGCTATCAAGACTGGGTAGGAACCAGGCATGATGGTACAACCAGAAGGTATAGCAAGGAAAACAGAGACTAACCCCTCCTTGTATCACGGGCCTTATAGCCTGTAAGGAAAGGAAAAACATTAAAAATGGCAGTGTGAAGCTGCAGGAGGATCCTAAGTTCCAGCCCAGCCTGGGAAATTTATTGAGATCTTGTCTCAAAACAGTAAGATGAGGGAGCCTATAATTCCAGCATTTGGGAGGCTGACACAGAAGGACTGCAGCTGTTTGGAGGCCAACCTGGGATACACAGTGAGTTAGAAGGCTGCTGCCGGCAACCATGTGAGAGATATAATGGCCTGATTAAGCTTGGGACAACAGAAAAAGACCTACTTAGCAGAAAAACTAGTTTTGCTGGTGGGTTAAGTATGAGAGCAAGGAAAGGAGAGGGAAGAATCAAGAACGACTTGTTCATCTAGGCTACTTTGAGCTATCTGGAGGCTGAGGCAGGCAGATCATAAATTGGAGGCCAGCCTCAGCAAGTTAATGAGACATTGACTCAAAAGATTAAAAAGAGCACTGGGAATATAGCTCAGTGTGAGCCCTGGATTCAATATCCCTCAAAAATTAAAAAACCAAACTTATTTCTACTGGGCAGTATAACTCAGCGATAGAACATGCATTTTTGGTTTTGTTATTTTTTTAAAGCACATATTTAATATGCAGGAGGCCTTGGGTTCAATCCCCAGCATCAAAAAGATAAATGAAAAAGAGAGCTGGTGATGGCACGCACCTGTGAGCTCAACACAAGGGAGCCTGAGGCAGAAGGATCATAAGTTGGAGGCCAGCCTGAGCTGCACTGTGAGACTCGGTCTCAAGAAAAAAAAAAAAAAAGAACTTTTTCAACCTAAAGACAAACCCAGGAGGTCTAGGGAGCCTGGCCAAACAGAGGAACTCCTACTCCTAGGTGTGAGTTTAAATAAGGAGGAGGGCTGGGGACTTAGCTCTGTGGTTCAAGCACTTGCTTGGTAAACCTGAGGTCATGAGTTTGATCCCCAGTACCAAAATAAATAAGTAAATAAGACTGTGAGCTCCACTTAGTAAGACAATCAGTAAGATGGAGGACACCGGGACAGAGAGGAAAGGTCAGGTCCAGAACTCCAGTTCACCAGGTATCTTCCTTAAGCCAGAAGGACTGAGAGCCAGCTAAGACATGACAGTGAAGCAAGCAGGGATAGGCTGGGGCAGAGCTGTATCAGGCATAGCTTGTAAGGAAACAGCTGTGCCCAACACAAACTATTAGCCTATCAGAATGATCCTTGACAGGCAGCTGTACACAGGGAAGAGTCCTGAAACAGTGGTGGCAAACCAATAGCACGTGGGCTGCAGCTGGCTCTTTGTTATCACAGCAGGTTCAGTCCACAAATCTTCTGGGGATTTCAGTACAGTCATGGCACACATGCATTGGGTTCACCACCACCACAACTAATCAGCACAAGAAATTGACTGTAAAAGCAGGGGACGGGATTATACCAGCACACTGCAACTGAAAGAGAAATTAAGGGATGAGGTGGTTGATAACATGGGGCATTAACAAAAGAACAAAATTTGCTATTGTGAGTTGGAATGTGAGTCAGTCAACATCTCCTTAGTCCTATGGGGCTGGCTAACATGCTGAGGCGTCTCATTACCATCTGGCTATAATGACTCCACTTTATAGGTGAGGCAACTGAGGCACTGAAAGAGAACACCAAGATCTGAACCAAGATGATCAGATGCCAGAGCTGGTGTCCTAGAGTATTAT